TTGAATGAGGTCTTATCAGCGGCCTATTTCACCACCGAAGTACTGTTGTTCTCCTGGGGACGTATAATGCGATCTTGAGAACTGATACCTTGTAGACATAAGGAGAAAGTATAACCCGACAAGTAATGTTCAAGTTGCATTAAGTAATCGCTGGATTTAGATAAGTTATTGCAAATTCATGATTACTCACAAGACACATCCCGAAACACGATGGGAAATTTGAAGTATTCTTTTCTTTGGTGCTACTTTAAAATTAAAGTGAAGAATCGCCTCCGGAAAGCGCATTAGTGGAGAGTATATCGTTCCAATCACACTACTCTATCGCCTAACTTGACACGTGATGTCAAGCCGATGGGATTTTAGACACATTGACTCTACAGTACAGTTTATGTATCTAGGCATATTATATATATGCCTAGATACATAAACTGTATATATATATATCGATATATTTCATATATATATCTCTGGTACGTGTTTGGCGTGGAATAACATCCATATTATGTCGTACATTGATATCGTGAGATATATGTATATCTGTAAATGTCTTGCATAGATGTTTAGTACTTTCTGTAATTTTCTGACATCCGAAAACAAACAGTGTGGGTTCCGGAAATACACATCTCAATGTTATTTGTCGAATGTATGCTATTTTGAGTAGCTAAAATGAAAAAGACAGGTATTACAGAGAGTTGGTAAAAGGTTGGGTGGAAGAGGTAATAACAACCTAGGTAGTAGGCGAAAATAATATTGTTGTTTAAAAAATAAGCGAAGTCTTCATTGTATACGTCGACAACTTTCTCACGTTTGCTTCATCAGAGGCCACTCCGCAAAGTTAGTTGAGCCATTGTCTCCAGCGTTTCTACTTAATTGTTGTTATTGGAAATCTCGATTAAGTTCACTATCGCAGCGTATTTCAGGGCTGATTGATGTAGTTCTCTGGTATATGGTAAGAGTTCATTGCCCATTCTCCGGTTCATTCCTAGAATCAAAATGCAAATCAGTGTGTTGCACTGTCATAGTTTAGTATTATGGGTGTATGTGTTCCGTGGTATCATCCTCATCCAGCACATAGCAAGTGAAAGAGATCACGGTTACATGCATTTTCCTGACCCCCATGTTTTCTAACGTTTCAGCGCGACTAAGTCACACAGATCACATTTCCCAAGCGACTCCTCGGCAACGTGTAAGTGCTCCCTAGTTCAGCGTCTTCAATAGACGAGTTGGGACTTTCGCATGAGCGCAGTCAATCACTGGGCCATAAAATGACGGCGACGGTTTAATTATGAATACATACAATACTTGTACATATATCAATCACCGATAACTAATATTCTGCTCTTGTTTCCATGGTAACGTTGAAATTCCATCACAAAATCAACCACTTCATATATTGCGATGCGTGCGCTGCTTAAATATTGATTTTGTTTACGATGATTATAACCGAGATATCGTCGAAATTATGTTAAACAAATCACACGGCAATACAAATATATGCAGTTTTATCATTCCATATTTATTATTTTAATATTTTATTGATTTCATTATTTTATTGATTTTAATGTGACCTTAGACCCCTGTCCTTTGAAATGTTCAACACTGGAATATCATCGTCATAAAAAGCGGGGAAATGAACGTTGCAATTGTTTTGTTTTGTGTTGTTGACCAGGATGTATTTTTTAATATTTTTGATTAATACTACATGTTGATGAATACATTCTAATATGATTATTATGACCATAAACACTGTTCGTGTAAGCATACATGCGAGTTTTCGTTCGATAAATTAATGGAATTCTCTAATACGCATGTGCACTGTTTTTTGGTACGTACACTAACAATCACTGCACATAGGTATTAGTGTTTAATTTTCATGTGACGAATACTGTTGTAAGTATGTAAAGTATCGAACAACAATTTTAAAATATACATATTTTCGGCCATATGATAATACATCTTTAAAAAGAAAATGAAATTTACATTGGAGTATATGTGACGTTATCTGTAGTCGTATTCCACAGCCTTAAGCTAGACACTTGCAATTTAAGATACATCGTGGACTACCACCATGCATTTAGTTTTTTTTTTCAATTATCACTTTCTTATTTAATATTGACACTTGTTTTGAGGGAAATATCCAATCGTTTTCATTCAAGAAAGCTTACCAACTAAAACAACGTCGACTTTCCTTTCAACAATCAAGCATGTGTCAGTATTCATGACGTCATCTGTGTGACTGAGGTGAATGGAATGGGCAGGTGTCGAGACGTTCTTACATTTGGAATGAATAAAAACAACAATGTGGAATTAGAAAAGTAAATATCCAGAACATGCAATTAAGATAATCGTGGTTAAATTAAAGTGGTTCGTGCTTAGTAAATATATATTCGATCGTCTAAACATGGGAAGAATTAATTCCAACAATATTTCAATTCTGGTTTACAACCCATCCCACTGGTATATGCCGCGATATTTCAATTTCTGGTTCACAGGCCATCCCACTGGTATAGGCCGCGATATTTCAATTTTCTATTAAAAGCCCATCCCACTGATGTAGGCCACGATATTTTAATTTCTGGCTTACAACCCATCTCACTGATGTAGGCCACGATATTTTAATTTCTGGTTTACAACCCATCCCACTGGTATATACCGCGATATTTCAATTTATGTTTCACAGGCCATCCCACTGATGTAGGCCGCGATATTTTAATTTCTGTTTCACAGGCCATCCCACTGGTATAGGCCGCGATATTTTAATTTCTGGTTTACAACCCATCCCACTGGTATAGGTTGCGATATTTCAATTTCTGTTTCACAGGCCATCCCACTGATGTAGGCCACGATATTTTAATTTCTGGTTTACAGGCCATCCCACTGGTATAGGCCGCAATATTTCAATTTCTGGTTCACAGGCCATCCCATTGATGTAGGCCGCGATATTTTAATTTCTGGTTTACAACCCATCCCACTGGTATAGGTTGCGATATTTCAATTTCTGTTTCACAGGCCATCCCACTGATGTAGGCCACGATATTTTAATTTCTGGTTTACAACCCATCCCACTGGTATAGGCTGCGATATTTCAATTTCTGGTTCACTGGCCATCCCACTGGTATATGCCGCGATATTTCAATTTTTGGTTTACAACCCATCCCACTGGTATAGGCAACGATATTTTAATTTCTGGTTTACAACCCATCCTACTGATGTAAGCGACGATATTTCAATTTCTTGTTTACAACCAATCCCACTGATGTAAGGCCACGATATTTCAATGTCTTTTCACAGGTCATCTTACTGGTATAGTCCACGATATTTCAATGTCTTTTCACAGGTCATCCCACTGGTATAGTTCACGATATTTCATGTCATATGTATTTACGTTTGTACAAATCTTATTGACAGAGTGAGAGTGCCCTGGCGATCGACATTTAAACAAAATGCGAAAGTGCCATACATGTAATGCATACTCCTAATTCATATTACCATTCCATCACAAGTTTACGCGTTTCTTTCGTTGTTTACTAGTTTATGTACCCAAAGTTTGGGGGCGCTGTAGTGCAACTTCAAATATGAATCTATAAAACATGGGTTGGAATGATTCAATCATTCGAACTTCAAATTCGCCATCTTCTAAGAATAAATCGGCGGGTTCAAGTTGCTCAAAATAATTTAACTTGCACAATGCAGCATAGTATCCCATAGTTACAAATGCCACAGTCAGTATGTCATGTAAATATAGTTAGCAAAATAATGAAAACGAAAAAAAATATGGAAACATGTTTGTGTGATCAGATTCACACTCGATTTCAAATGCCCAAGAACTAATCTATTTCAAGAGAAACACTTGCACAGATTGCAATGACGTCTCTTTATCTGATTGGGTGCGCAAAATATATATTTATCTGAATAGTACGAATTTGTACATTTCATAGGTACTAATATACATTGTATGTCACCTCAAACTACTAGACTTGCATACAGTCAATAAAATAATGTATGATGTCAGTGCATTAATGGCAAAAGCGGTAACCCTGCTTTCGCCATTTAAATACTTCGATATTTTATTTTATTGATAAAAACACCAACAAATAAACAAGAGACTGTACGCAAGTCTGCCAAGCCACAGAAAACGAAAAGAAGTGATGATAGAGGGCGCCACACAACCAAATTACTTGAAAATTGGTACTTGGCAATAAACCGACAAAAAGTATCATGTGATTAAGTGAATGTGCATATATTTAATACATAATCATCTATATATAATGTGTAAGTTAGTTTACATTTATTTATTGTATAAATATGTAATAAATATACCTTGTGATGAAGTGATTAATGAAATAAAACTATTACATATTCTCAATGTTTGTGTATTTTTGACTGACTTGCTAATGTATTCATTCAATACTTATGATGAATAAAGTCACTTACTAATGAAAAAATATACAAATAACAAAAAATAAAACAAACAAACAAACAAACAAACAAACAAACAAACAAACAAACAAATAAATAAATATTCCAATCTTAATAAAAACAAAGACACCTATCAAATTGATGGTAGAGGGCGATCACTTGCATAATTTAAAACGGTTTGAGCCAGAAGAACGCAATTTACCCGCATTTTGAAAACGTAGTTTATATAATTCTTTAAAATCGAGCAATAAACGGAACATTACCCCCCATCAGGGACACATCTTAGTCTTAAAAAAAAATGAATCATCCAAAACCTCAATGGGAATGTTCACCCAGCTGGTCGAGTTCTAGTACTCGCTGCGGATGTGTCAGTCCGCCATTTAAAAAAAAACTGTTGGTTTTAACAAAAATACCACTCCACTCAAAAAATTACGGGTTAGATGTTGTGGTGTCTGTTATATTTACGTGAAAAAATAAAACACTTTGAAAAACAAGCAACGAAACCCCTGCAAACAAATATTTTGAGCATAAACGAAATTTGACCTTGCGTATGAATACAAATTACAACTGTAGTGATATCTATTTAAACTAGAGCGTGGGTTGGACATCAGTCTGGTCTTTTGGGTTCGTGAATTCGTACGGCATGTAATAGGAGAGATGGCTGTCGGTCTGTGCGGAAGAACTGCCGTTTAGAGGTCGGTCATGATAGTTCTAATTCTCCTTTTTTCTGACTGTGTGCATGCATTTCTGTTTTGCGTTTAAAGTATTTTGTTTTTTGTTGTCCATTTTTTTTTTCAAAATGGCGTTTTTCATTTTGCCCGCTTTCATTTGACAATCAAGCTAATGCTATCGGTCTTTCTTGTTTTGTATCTTATTATACTTCGTGTTTTGTATCTCATACTTTTCCCATATCATTCGTATAATTGCTTATAATATGTACGTCGTCTCGTGTACACCCTCTTCTTGCCTGACCACGTGTTCACGGCATGACCTTCTGAACACGTGGGCTAGCTCAAAGTGTTCAATATCTTTCAACACTCCATCCCAGAGTCTACATTTAGGCATATTCAGAATACAGTTGTTTGAGAGTGCGTGTCCACAGGTTAACCTCCTAATTTAGAAGAAAATCTATGAAACAATTCGGCACTGATGTGAGCGCGTGGCATTATTGTAGACTTGTTGGCCGCCATGACACGTGCAGATAAAATGCGAAGACAATGTTAGCTGCAGTTCTGTAGCTCGCTTGGTTTCGCTGTCGGTTATTTTGTTCGTCGTGGTGTTAACGCGAAACCAGGGAGCTACAGTTCCATCCTTTGCGAGTTACCCAATTTTACCGAACTGAAATCATGTCGGGTCGTAACAGCCTTTTTTTTCATTCTTTTCGTCTTAAGTTTCTATCTTTCTACTGTCGATGGGTCCCGAAACTATTTCATCAATTATTTTGAGGGCGATTTTTCGAAATTGGTCGTTTTCACGACGAAAACTGCGTGAAATTGGAAAAGAGACGCCTTGTGACGTCACGATAACTTATTCAAGATGGCGGCAAACGCGGGGATTTCGCTGTAGTT